GCCGCGTAGAAGCCGGGGCGGGGCCGCGCGAGAGCAGGCGGCGGGGCCGCGAAGGAGCCGGGGCGGGGCCGCGTGAGAGCAGGCGGCGGAGCCGCGTAAGGGCCTGGGCGGGGCCGCGACAAAGCCGTCGGCGGGGCCGCGTGAAAGCCGGGGCGGGGCCGCGTAGAAGCCGGGGCGGGGCCGCGCGAGAGAAGGCGGCGGGGCCGCGGACGGGGCGAAGGAGCCGGGGCGGGGCCGCGTGAGAGAGCAGGCGGCGGAGCCGCGTAAGGGCCTGGGCGGGGCCGCGACAAAGCCGTCGGCGGGGCCGCGTGAAAGCCGGGGCGGGGCCGCGTAGAAGCCGGGGCGGGGCCGCGCGAGAGCAGGCGGCGGGGCCGCGAAGGAGCCGGGGCGGGGCCGCGTGAGAGCAGGCGGCGGGGCCGCGACAGAGAGGGCGGCGGGGCCGCGTCAGTGAAGGCGGCGGGGCCGCAGGGGAAATGGCGACCCGAGGGGTCGCTAAAAAAAAAGATCGCGCCTCGGGGGGCGCTTCGGTGGGCCCAAAAAAAAACCGGTCCGTAGAAGGACCCGCTCTATACCATGTCAGAATCAGCGAACAGGAATGATGAACTAGCAGTGAAATGAGTACAAGTAGGAAACCCTAGAATTGTGTACCCCCTATAGGCTAACCCACTGTAGCCTACACAAGCATAACATATATAATGTTTGACACAACGTTCACCCGGACACCGCGCCTCTGAAGATATCTGGCACGCACGCACAGGACATCCAAGCAACACGGTATTAAACAATACGATACGAGCAGGAGTGTTAGACAAAGACTCGCTCCTACTACTCGACGGCAGAGAACTCCAACGGGCACGAGGAACTTGCCTCATCTGCCCCGAAGCAGACTTACCACATCGATCATTTTCTTCTCACCACAACCCGAGCGCACCTGCGTACGCACCACTCGACAAGGTTTACAGCGACATCCTCTACAATCGCGAACCAGGACAAGTCACTTACAACTACACCATCACCTTCATCGACGCCGCCACTCGATACGTCTGGCAACGCAACCTACCCAGCCGCGACATGGCACTCGCAGCATTCGCCGCCTGGCTACCGATAGCAGAGAGGGAATCTGGAACGCAGCTGAAAAGCTTCCAGTCAGACGGAGGTGGCGAGTACACCTCTCAGCGCTTCAAGCAGTACCTGGCGGAAAGGGGGATCAAGCAACTTCTCTCCCTTCCCTACGCACATCAGCAGCAAGGTGTCGCAGAAAGAATGAACAGGACTCTGCAGAACAGCATGCGCAAACTTTTACGTGGCATGCGGCTACCCAACCACCAGTGGCCTGCAGCAATGGACCACGCTGTCATGCTGCACAACTTGCTGTCGTCGTCGTCACTCCCGAACAACGCATCACCACATCTGCTGTGGACAGGGAAGCAGGGCAGCACAAAAATGTTACGAGTTTTCGGGTGCATGGTACAGTACCGACCCCCAGAAGCACGAGCGGGAAGATTTTCGCAACGGGCACAGTGGGGACTACACCTCCGCATCGAGAAAAATTACAACGCGTGGAGAATCTTCGACGTCCACACAAAAGAAACAGTGGCAGCACGTGATGTGATCTTCTACGAGCGACTCACCCTTCAGACATACCTCGCCAACTTGCACGAGAATCGGGACCTCACAGGTGGCTTTTGTGGTGACCGAGCCTTCGCGTCAGCAGCGGACGAAGCAGACTGGGATGAACAGAACGTTGACAACGCATCGGAAGAGGCCGGACCTCTCCCGTACTGCTCCGTCGACGTGCCCATGGACGAAGAAAATCCTCGCGACAGTAACAACGCCGAAGTCTTCTACCATTTCGCCGACAACGGCTACGTAACACCTGCGACAGTCAACACAAATGAAGCAGAAAGGATAGGACCAAATTTCATCCCCGATCCAGAAGCAGGAGACGAAGCAGCTTATCCCGAGGATACCACACTCCCCCGATACTCACAGACTGGGCTGCAAATCCTCGGCCTCGTCACCGCAGTCCACGGGAACGCCGTCAACCCTCTTCCTAAAGAGCCTGCGACAGTTCAGCAGGCTCTGGGGGGGGAACACAGGGAGAAATGGCGTGAAGCCATGGACAGAGAATTAAAAGCGCTGGAGGAACGCAACACCTGGAAGGTCGTTCCCGCAAGCGTGGCAAGGAACAAGACCATTCTCACCGGGAAGTGGGTCTTCCGCATCAAAACGAAAGCAGATGGTACAATCGAGAAGTTCAAGGCACGATGGGTCGTGCGAGGATTCGACCAGGAACAAGGGCGAGACTTCACCGAGACATTCGCCCCAGTTAGTCGACATACCTCACTCCGAATTCTTCTCGCCGTTGCCGCCATGAAGAAGAAAAAGCTGCGACAAATTGATGTCGCCAACGCCTTCCTCTACGCACCTGTCGACGCCGACATCTTCGTCGAGCTACCTCACGGTACCCATGGGGAACCCAATCAAGTCTGCCAACTGTTAAAATCCCTCTACGGAATCAAACAGGCCCCACGGCTGTGGCAACAGCACTTACACACCCGCCTCATCCGCATCGGATTCCGCCAACTGCCCCATGACCAGGGCATGTACCGACTCACTAAAGACGCCAACTACATCCTACTCATCGTCTACGTCGACGATCTCCTCTACATCGGTTCCACCAACGACGTCACCACCTGGTTCGAAGGGGAGCTGCAGAAAGACCTCACGCTCACGGTTTCTTCTACCGTTACGCAGTACCTCGGGCTCAACATCCGCGAAGAAGAAAACGCAATCTATCTAAGCGCCGAGAAATTCGCCGACACGATCGCCAAGCGCTTCTCGCTCACACCCACCGCTATCGCCACACCATACCGCTACACGGCAGGAAACGGCCAAGGAAACTCCGCCCTACTCAAGGCTGCTGGAATACGCGACTATCAGCGAAAACTGGGCTGTCTACTCTTCGCAGCCGTCACCTGTCGCCCAGACCTGTCCTACTCCGCTAGCCAGCTCGCTACTTATCTCAAGAGGCCTGAAGTAGATCACCTGGCAGAGCTCGATCGCGCACTGCACTATCTCGTGAGCACACCGACGATTGGCCTGACTTATTACAAGAACGAAGCTGCGTCAACGAAGCTAATCGGCTATGTCGATGCCGACCATGCCGGCGATCCAGACAACAGGCGCTCTCGCACCGGCTACGTCTATCGTCTCGAGCCTATCGGACCTATCTCTTGGCAGTCGAGTAAGCAGGAACTAATCGCTCTCTCTTCAGCTGAAGCAGAATATATCGCCCTCTGCTCAGCCACCAAGGAAGGACTCTACCTTCGCGTGCTGCTGGAAGAAGCAAAGTTAGCTGAGTTACCCAACTTCACCCTGCACTGCGACAACCAGTTTGCAATTCGCATCGCCAACAAAAGCGGATTCGCGAACAGAACGAAGCATATCGCTCTGCGATACTTCTTCGTGAAAGACGAGATCGAGAAAGGAAGACTCGAGTTATCCTACTGTCCCACGTCCGAGATGGCAGCCGAATATTTGACCAAGAAGCTCGGAAAACAGAAGTTCGAGTACTGCATGCTGCTGACTGGACAAGGCCACGTCACCATCAGCGACACTCCAGAAGCGAAGGGGAGTGTTGGGAACAACAAATCTTAAGCGCCTCTGTCGTGTCGAAACTTTGGATACAAAAGCGAAGCACTCCGAATCGAAGCATCGCGAGTCAACCCTCGGAGGTTGGGGTAACCGCCTGGAGGTTACGCGAAGGTCAAAGGTCAGCGACCTTTGACTTGACCAGTACAGCGCGACAGCAAGGACACACAACTGACTCGACATTGAGCAGTTGCCCGAGTCGCACTGTATCGAATCGCAACAGCAATACAGTTATTATATCTATTCGTATTCCTTGTACTCTTATATAAAGCCTTGTATTTGCTTGTTTTAATCAACTTACTTTGCTCTCACATACTAGTGCAAGGTGGTACAACCACTCTGTATCACAACGTTTCCGCTATTACAATCCTACTCAGTCCTCAAACTCTACAAAGATCCTAGGGCTTCTCAGCTCAACACACACGTGGAGGGGATAAGACGGTCTTCTGGCTTCTCAAGGAGGGTTTCTTTGTCTAACCACTCCATGACAAGGAAACTCTTATTGTACACACAACGAGTGTGTAGACTTGGGCTTGACCATTCTGCATAAACTGAATAAATGCAATGGTAGATGCTACAAATACTATGGTGGTGGCTGCAAAACACCTATGGTATGTGATGTGATGTGAGGTGACGTGTTGTCCTGCGATGCAATGTGGTGTGAATATATTTTGATGCGATGTGATGGAAGTGCGAGTTCAGATCATGTACGTCATGCCATCAATCGCTGGTGAGGACATGGTTGGGCGCATCTCCAAGGCCTGTTGCTGCGAATGCCCTCGCTCATGCCCATGCGCATGCTCATGCCCGTTCGTTGGCGCCCCTCTGGCAGCCCTGGCTGCTGCAGCCGCAGCAGCCGCTGCTGCTTCCACACCTGCGAGCGAGCGTCCATCACGGGGCCATCTCCGCGGGCTGTCTCTCATTTCAGGCTGTGAATGGCTCGGAAGAATGGGGCGATTGGAGTGCCTGCCAGGTAGCGTCATCAGGCGCAGCAGCTTCTTGCCGATCGTGCTGGCTGAGGAGCTGGGAGAAGCTGGATGCTTCTGCTGCTCTTGCTGCTGCTGATGGTGGTGGTGGTGGTGGGCGTGGTGGGAGAGGAAGGAGGAGTGGTGCGAGAGGTGCTTGTGCGTGCACGTGGCAGGCCATGTTGGTAGGATGCCCATGGCGTTCTGGCCTGAGAGCAAGTGCTGCTGGCAGTACGGGCTACGAGGGTGCTGCTGCTCGTGCTGCTGAGTCTGGAGTTGCTGCTGTTTGCTGCTCGATGATTCATCGCGTAATGCTTTGCCCAGAACTCCTTGGAGATTGACCTGCAACGTGTGTCACCAAACATGAACACAATGAGGAGACTAAACACGTGACGGAAGCTGGGACGACAAGGGGGAAATGGAAAAGTGGAAATCAGAGACTGTGCGTGGGAGGGGAAACAGACGTTCAGAGAAGAGATGACAACGCTTCACCCTCTTTTAGTCCCACCCGCAGGGTATAATGTTCACGCTCGTACCTCGCCGGAGTGATAATGCGGACTGTTATTGCCAGATTGAGGCGAGTTCCAAGATCCGTGTTTCGCACCACCTGCAGCACCAGCACCATCACCAGCACTGGAAGCAACAATGGGAGAATCAGACGCCGAGGCAGAGGTTGTAGCAGAGGTAGGGGTAGAGGCAGCGAGTCCCTCGAGGTGGGTGAGGGGGTCCGCCACGTGGAGCAGCGCCAAATGCCTCGTCAGCTCACTCGTATCCAGTTCCGGCATCCCCACTGCAGACCGTGCTTCCGCCATCGCACTCACCCCTGACTCCCCCCCTTCTTCCTGCTGCTGCTGATAGTAGCACTCATACTGATTCATATCGTGCTTCTCACCGCCATCCTCCGCTCCTCCCGCCACGGAGGTGATCTCGTTGTCGGGGGTGGTCTGCGGGCGGACCCATGGCGCAACGCCACGCTGTCCTTCCCCCGCCGACCGCCGCGCCTCAAGCAGCTGCTCCAGCATGGACTGCTGCTGCATCAGCAGCTTCAGCATCAGCCGCGACTCGTCGCCGTCACCGTGACGACGCTCTGTTCCCGTCACGCCGGCCATTCCCACCGACGCGGCGTCCCATGATCGTCTAGCCGCATCGTCCAGAAACTGCATTTCGCGCTGAATCGCTGCCACCGCTGGATGACTCGGCTCGTGCAGCCTCTGTCCACGGAATGATGAGACACATTCTCGAATGTCGCTGGAGCTGCTGCTTCTACTGCCGCTAGTAGAGCTACCACTGGTAGTATTGCTAGTACTAATAATTGTAGTCGTTGCATCAGTGCGACGGCCGGACGGTTCCGTGATGACGGGTGTCATCAGTGGCACGGACGCTGCGCGCGGAAACGACGACAAGATGTTTGACGAGTTGTTCGACGACATGCTCGACGGCGCGGGCGACGTCTCCCTCCCCGCGAGATCATGACGCCAGCCATTGCTACTACGGTGATCATGGTGCCGCTGATGCTCCTTCTCGTCCTTTTCCATCCGAAGGGTCTTCTTCGTCGTCCTCGCCGCCGCGGCTTCTGCCGCCTCTGCGTCTTGGAGCTGGCATTTCCACGCGTACTCGCGGCGCGGCATGAGGTAGTACATGGCGCCGGATGTCAAGCAGCGGTGTGGGTTCACGGAGTCGAAGCGCCGCGCCGCGGACGCTGTTCCAGGTTTCTTGATAATGGTGTTGTATCCCGCGCTGATGGTCCCGCTCTGGCTGTCGGTAGTGGCGGAAGAGACGGTGCTGCGAGCGTCGTCGTCGTCGTCGCAGACGCATTCGCAGTCGAAGCCGGGGTCGCGGTCGCAGAAGGCGGCGTCGCGGTCGTCGCCCAGTGGTGTGGGCGATAGGAAGAGGTCGTGGTGCGGATACTCGCGAAGAACGTCGCGCGCGATGAGGAGTGGCTCGTCGAAAAGACGCATGGAGCCGTCCGGCAGGCAGACGAGGATGTGCGAGGTGGTCATGGTGGACGCGGCAAGGCGCAGCGCGAGGGGTCAGATTAATTTAATTTCAGGTCACGGTGGAGAGCTCCAGTGGCAGTAGAAGAGAGAGAGAGACAGCGAGGAAACTGGTTCTTAGACGGAAACGAGGAAATGCGAACAGTACTAGTTGTGTTGCTTAAGGCAACCGCCAATAGCTCATGGAAGTGCTGGGTTTTTCTTATATGCTGGGATGGGGAGATTTTGAAAACAGGGGATGGCGGAGACACATGCGATGGAGGCGGATGCGACGCGACGGGATTCGGGAATCGGGAGCTGTACAGTCGAAATTCCTTCCTCATGCTGGCATAAAAAACGTTGAACCGCCCATTCAGCGTCGAGGAAGTTTTGATTACTTAGTCGTGCTGGATTGGGTGTCCATATTCACTTTTTTGGTAGCGGGATGCCTGGTTCCTAGAAAAGGCACCCCTGACTACCCCCACTGGCACTTAACAAATCGTCCTCAGCAGCTAGGAGGCTAGCACTCACAGGTCCACGAATGTATGAATCTGAGATACTTTTTGTGTAGATGGGAATGCAAGGGCTGTATTTAGAGAGCTTAACAAAGTTGTAAACCCTCCACGTTTTCAGCACTATCACCTCCATTCGCAGATACGCATCTGAATGTTGCCACCATCACGCTGACGCGTTTGAATGATTCTGCGTTCTGGTACGGGCATGACTTTGGCAGCACTGCTGCCCCTCGTCAAGATAGTCCAATCAATGATGAGTACACCCTAGTCAAGGTTGTCCGCTACTGAGGATTCTGTTTCTGTAAGAGACCCATTTGTGGAGTCAATTGTGGACAATATGGTAAGATCGATAAAAATGGATGTGACAATATGTGCCAACAGAACATTATAAATCAGAAAGGGCGCCCACTCTTTGCTTGCACCTCTTACAGTATGGGACTAAAGGACAATATTTGGCGAAAAATTATGCAGCAAATCAACTTTACTCTTGGCCAAACCTATGTCAATAATCTTAGTAACTTACCGTATGTCTTCTTCGCCTGAAATCACAAGGACTTGATCCTATCCAAAATACGTTCAATACCAAGTACGTGTACAGTTCACGCTTACAATCAGAGCCCGCTACCTGTACAAAGAACCAACACACATGCAAGACTGGGAAGAATTATTGAGCTAATACACTCATAACAATGATAGCATATGAAGCAAGGTTTAGAACACTTCAGGTCAAGGCTGGCACTTGCAATTACCTGCTAACATTGTCTGAGATACCCCTCCTTTAGAAAATATTCCCTTCGGAGATGTAAGACGTGTGGCAGCCGCTGTGAGTCGCATCTGAGACAGACAATGTGGGAGATGGGAAATGGACAAGTTATGAGGCGGAACTAGGGAGGGTGAGGGAAAGGGGGGGGAGGAGGGGATGAGAAGAGGGGAGTACGGATGAGGCGAGAGCAGGTGAGCTGCTTTGACACAAGAACAATCTGGGGAACGGTGAGGATGCATACAAAGAGGGGAACAAACAAAGGGACAAAGCAAAGGAACACGTGTCGCAGCTTACTTACCACATTAAACAGCACGAGGATCCACCAGTTGCCAGCAAGGCCGAATCCCCAGTGCTGCGCCCCCTGCCATGCAACGGACGGTGAGTGAGTGAGGAGCACAGCCTAGGGAAGAGAGCACACAGCACTCCCATCCAATGGTGTTTCTAAGGATGGTCAATGCCGGGGGGACGAAGGGCAGGGGGGTAATGATGGCTGATGGAATCTGAAAAAGGGGAGCTTGGTTGCAAGGGGGATTAAGTGGAACACGGATGCAGGAAATATGAAGTATATATATAGAATTTTCACAAAGTCTTGAGGTTCCGGAAATATAGAGGGCGCGGGTGTATCCTGAAGCAATGGGAGCGATGGTGATAAGGTGGGGTTCACCTTGAGCAGCAGTGCGCCTACGAGCATTGCCGCACTCATCGTAGACGCCAAGTATGCCAAGTCCCTGCTCGCCTGCTCATGGTGATGGTGGTGGTGGTGGTGGTGGTGGTGGTGGTGGTGGTGGTGGTGGTGGTGGTGGTGGTGGTGGTGGTGGTGGTGGTGGTGGTGGTGGTGGTGGTGGTGGTGGTGGTGGTGGTGGTGGTGGTGGTGGTGGTGGTGGTGGTGGTGGTGGTGGTGGTGGTGGTGGTGGTGGTGGTGGTGGTGGTGGTGGTGGTGGTGGTGGTGGTGGTGGTGGTGATGGTGGTGGTGGTGGTGGTGATGGTGGTGGTGGTGATGGTGGTGGTGATAATTGTTGTTCATGATTATAATGATGGTTATGGGGGAGGGGCAGTGTATGGGTAAGAACAAAATGGCAACAGAAAGAGAGAGTTAGGGTACAGGCAAGAACCCGATGCGAGGTTTAGCAAAGTCGCCAGCTCTCATCCAGAGACGGCACGCAACGTGTCAATACCTGACATGTGGAATAGTGCCAGAGTAGCAAACACTAGCAGACACCAGCAACAACCACGGAAGACGGCACGGCAGCACGCACGGCAGCAGGCATGGCAACACGCATGGCTGTGGGCATGGGAGCATGGCGGCAGGAATGGCAGCAGGTATGGCAGCAGGCATGGCAGCAGCAGGCGGCGAGGGCAGGCATACCAGCAGGGCTCCCTCAGAGGAGAGCACGATGGGGTTGAGCATCAGACTGACTGCCAGGGCCGGGGCTATGCACGCGATCTGATGGGGAAGGTTGGAGGAGGAAGGGGCGATGGGGAAGGACGGAGGCGGAAGAGGGGGAGGGTGGCATGGGCCCGCTTGTGTTAAACGCTGGGTCGATGTGGCAATGCACACCCACGTGGCAATGCACACCCACGTGGCAGTCCTCGTTACAGTCGAAACCAGCAGAGGAGGCAGCCACCATGAGCATTATGGGGAGGAAGGGAATGCAGACCCAAATTACCACCTAAGGACCCAAGGTCCCTGCCACCTGAGCATCCACCTGAGACCCACCTGAGAGATGACAGCAGGGTCGGCAGTGAAGAGGGAGGGCATGCGAAGCGAGACGAAGAGGGCAGTGGTGACCTCCATGGCACCCAGCAGGGCTGCTATGAGTATCAGCGTCATCAGCAGCCTCCTCGCCTGCAGATAGTTGTTGGTAGGTTGGTTGCCATGGGAGAGATGAAAGGTGTGGGAGACATGGAAGGTGTGGGAGACATGGAAGGTGTAGGAGACATGGAAGGTGTGGGAGAAAGGGATGAAAGAGACATGTGGCGGAACGAGTCGGGAGAAGGGACGAAAAGACGGGGTGGTTTTCCAAGGAGCAAGGAAGTGAGATGCACAAGGGGAATGCGCAAAGGAGAGCACTGAGCAAGAGTAGGAAAGAAGAAAAGAGTTCCACTGATTGGTTATGAACTTTTACTTTTGGGGGTAGACAGTACGACATAGAAAGGACATGGACAGTCTCTGAGGAATCTTACCAACGAAAAAGAAAAAGACGTCAGAGAGCCCTCACACACCTACCTTGTGCATGTTTCTGTTGACACCAACGCATAGACTGGGAAGAAAGGACTGGGCCGTCTGAGAGAGCGGCTCAGCACACACTGCACAGAGGGCAAACACTCCAACCAGCACCTGCCGCGTGGGTAGAGAGGAGCGGAAGAGGAGGAGAAGGAACAGAAAGTGAGCAGACAGGGGACAGGGAGTAAAAGGCATTGATGACTAGGGTGGTAGAGGGCAGGTGACGGACAAGCGGTGCATGTAGGTTGAATGGTGAAGACTGGAGGGAGGACTTTTGGGACCATTCAATGGTTGAATGGTGAGGGCTGGAGGGAGGACTTTTGGGACCATTCAATGGTTGAATGGTGAAGACTGGAGGGAGGACTTTTGGGACCATTCAATGGTTGAATGGTGAAGACTGGAGGGAGGACTTTTGGGACCATTCAATGGTTGAATGGTGAAGACTGGAGGGAGGACTTTTGGGACCATTCAATGGTTGAATGGTGAAGACTGGAGGGAGGACTTTTGGGACCATTCAATGGTTGAATGGTGAAGACTGGAGGGAGGACTTTTGGGACCATTCAATGGTTGAATGGTGAAGACTGGAGGGAGGACTTTTGGGACCATTCAATGGTTGAATGGTGAAGACTGAAGGGAGGACTTTTGGGACCATTCAATGGTTGAATGGTGAAGACTGGAGGGAGGACTTTTGGGACCATTCAATGGTTGAATGGTGAAGACTGGAGGGAGGACTTTTGGGACCATTCAATGGTTGAATGGTGAAGACTGGAGGGAGGACTTTTGGGACCATTCAATGGTTGAATGGTGAAGACTGGAGGGAGGACTTTTGGGACCATTCAATGGTTGAATGGTGAAGACTGGAGGGAGGACTTTCGGTGGTAGCAGCTGGTTTTTTTATATATTCAAAACCCGGCTAAGCATTAACGACAGGACACAGGCGAGGCAACAGAGAAAGAGGTGGGAAAGGAGGGAAGCGGCAGGGGGGGAAGAGGAGGAGCAGGAAGGGAACGTGAGGAGGGGGAGAGGAAGGTGAGGAGAGGAAGGGGAGAGGAGAGCGAGACCTGATGTGCTGCAAGGGGAACAGTCCCAAGAGGTGTGGCTTGGAAGGAAGGTGGGCAGTGTGTAGAAGCTGACTCTTGAGAAGTCTCACAAGTGATTCCCACGTACCTGATGTGCTGCGAGGGGAACAGTCCCAAGAGATGTGGCTTGGAAGGTGAGCAGTGTGTAGAAGCCGACCTGATGGGGGCGACGAGGGGCGTGGAGTGGATGAGGGAAGAAGAGGAGAGAAGAGGGGAGGGGGATGACAACGAGGGAATGAATGATTGGGATGTATGGAGTGGGGTAAACCGCTGGAGGAACACTCACAACCATTTAAAGACTGGTGGGATTCATTGATTGACCGTTGGGAACCGTTGGACGGCCATTGGAAGTGTGTTGGGAATCGTTGAGAGACCTTGAAAAGCGTTGAACAGCATCGAAAGAGAGTCGAAATCGTCGAAAGACTACTTGACAACCGTTTTTAAGACTGTTGCAACCGCGTGAGGATGGAGCACAATAAGTATGCATTGCATGCAGATTATCAGAGCGATACACGGAGGGACGCACAGGAAAGCTGAAGGGGCACATCAACTGATGGATGGACCGATGGATAAAGAAGAAGGAATCAACAACAACAAGGGTGGGTGTGCATGAGGAGGAGAGGAGGAAAGGCGGCGGACCTTGGCAGCAAGGGTGACGAAGATGGGACCGGTGAGGGAGAGGTAGGTGAGCAGCTCGGGCAGCGGAGGGGGCGAGATGGCAAGACGTATGCGACCCGCCCGGTGCAGCGAGTGCAGCATGAGAAGCGCCCCTACGTACTGCACGATGGGGGGGAGAAGGGGGGAACAAGGCGGAAGGGAGCGGTGAAGGGCTTTTGAGACGTCTCAAAAGACGATGGGGCGGAGAAGGGGGGAACAAGGCGGAAGGGAGAGGTGAAGGGCTTTTGAGACGTCTCAAAAGACGATGGGGGGGAGAAGGGGGGAACAAGGAGGAAGGGAGAGGTGAAGGGGGGGCATGCGTGGCTAGGTGGGAGGCTTGAGGGACGAGAGGAGGGACGGAATGGGGTCAAAAAGGCGCAGCGTGAGGGTCCAAGGCTCGTTCTGGACGTAACTGAGTCCATGCAGCGGGGGTTGCAAGCAAGGAAGAGCGAGGGCGACGGGGGGGTTGAGAGAGAGGGACACTGAGTGGCAGGAGGAGCAGACTGTGGGGCCCCATGGCCTCTCAGGAGGAGCAGACTGTGGGGCCGTATCCTCAGAAAGCGCGGTGCAGAGGGGAAGAGAGGGCGGGAAAACCCACAGCCCCACCTGAGAGGCCATGGTGGCCCAGGCAGCCCCTGCAATGCCGTATCCCAGCAGCGGGCACAGCAGCAGGTCACCCCCCAGGTTCACCGCACTCGCTACTGCTAGACAGCGCAGCGGCCCCCACACGTCCTGCAGCCCGAGACTGGTGGGGCGTGTGGAGACGAAGAGAGGGGGGGGGGGGAGGAGAGAGGGAGGGAGGAGATTGGGGGTTCGAGGGGAGGGAGAGGGGAGACAGCGCAGCGGCCCCCACAGATCCTGCAGCCCGAGACTGGTGGAGCGTGTGGAGGAGACGGGGGGTGTGGGGGAGAGGAGAGGGAGCGGGGAGTTTGGGGGGAAGGGGAGGTATTGGTGAGTTTGAGGTTGAGACGAGCAGGGAAAGGGGAAATGGGCATGGATGTCTGTTGGTGACGTTGCATTCTCCTGTTTATTATACTGACACTGCTCTCTGTACCCAACCTTGCACTAACTCCCTCACCAATGAATCCATTCAATTCAACACCCTGGCACTAAGTCAGACAAACCTTCCACTCGTTCTCACTCAGCGATTACACCTTTTCTTACACAGCTGCCAACCTCGCAAGACCTGGCACTCACCTCGCGCTCTGAGCCACAGACGTGACAAGAACAGCCGGCCATGCATACGCTCGGATCTGGAACGCACACAGAGCGGGAGGACAAGGAAGCGAGGAGAAGGTGGGAAGGGGAAGAGAATGCGGTTGAGACTGGTGAGGTGGGTTGATGAAGAGTGCTAGTGGGATGAAACCAGAGGCATGAAGAGAACGAAAGTGCAAGGGTGATTGGACAGGTGAAACGACGGCATGCAGTGAGCAGGCAGATATCATTGACACAAAAAGCCGAATGTGACCTCTGCGCTCAAGCCTCTATTTTCCCCTCCATTCATCCCCTGTGGGTGGTAGAGTGTACAGGTACAGGTACAGGTGCAAGGCCGTGTGTAAGGTTCCCCCTCCCTGTACCTTGGCGTAGACACACGCTGCTGGGATGATGGAAGTGTTGTTGCCCACAAATCCTGGTGTGTCCCGTGGATACATGCCGAGGGAGATGGGCAGTAGGCACACAGATGTACATACACACACACACACACACACGCACACACACACACACGCACACACACACACACACACACACACACACACACACACAGAGGATCATTGACATAGATACACGTGAATTCGTGGGCATATGAAGAAGCAGGAGTGTGAGCAGCAAAAGGAGGAATGAACTCACAAGTGGAAGCTCCACGAAGCTAACCCCGGAAGTGTGGACGAACACAGCACATGCTCACTGGAAAACTCGACAAGCCGCGCCCCGTTCTCAAACTCCCTTATACCCATTACTTTCCACCTTGTCCCTCTGCAATACCCCGCCTTCACGTCACGGTACCAGCCTCACCGGCAATGGCTTGTGGTACGAATTTGAGGGAGACGGCAGTCATGAGCAGCCCACACACGAGCGCCACGAACAGCAGCTGTGATAGATGCCGCGATGCCAGCTCAGTGTCCTGGAGGAATTGGGAAAGACGCGAGGAGGGGCTTTTGAGAGTTCTCAATATCCTAGTCACTTCTGAGAATTCTCAAAAGAAGCAGCTGTGATAGATGCCGCGATGCCAGCTCAGTGTCCTGGAGGCATTGGGAAAGACGCGAGGGGCTTTTGAGAGTTCTCAATGTCGTAGTCACTTCTGAGAATTCTCAAAAGCAGCAGCTGTGATAGATGCCGCGATGCCAGCTCAGTGTCCTGGAGGAATTGGGGATGACGCACGGAGGGGATGAGGGGATTAGTGAGAGCGGGAAGATTATTTTGCACGTCATGTTGCATGTCTCTGCTCTCTTCCTCATCTGCTCGTGCAAGGCTAGGCAAGGTGCATGGGCGGAGGGGATGAGAGGGTTGGAGAGAGTAAGAAGGCTGAGTGTGGAGCCAGAAGGTAAACACGGAAGGTACAGTGTGTGCTATGCCTCCAGCCTCCCCCTGTGCTCCCAGCCTGCCTCTATGCCCAATACCTGCCCAGTTTCCTGCACTGCAACTACTCATGTGCAAGCCAGTCCCTGGCCTGGCCTGGCCTGGCCCAACCTGACTGACCTGACCCAACCTGATCTGACCCGACCTGATCTGACCCGACCTGATCTGACCCGAACTGACCCGAGCTGAACCAACCCAACCCGACCCAACCCGACCCAACCCGACCCTACCCGACCCGACCCGACTCCATGTGACCCAACATGAAGTGGGCGCAGAGCGGCTGACCTGCTGCGCCATGGCAGTGGCAATGAGGTTGGAGGTGGCGATGGAGAGGAACATGAAGAGGAACGACACCTGGTCGCACATCACCGTGCCCGGCCCTGACACACGGGGGAATCGGAGGTAGAGGGAGGTGGGAGGTAAAAAGGTTGAGACGCCCTATTCTTAAGCTAACGACACCTGGTCGCACATCACCGTGCCCGGCCCTGCCACGCGGGGGGGGGGGAGAGGAAGAGGGGAGGAGGGGTTGGGTGGGGTGGGTGGGTGGGTGGGGGATAAAGAGGGGGTTGCAGTTGCAGTTGCAGTTGAGACGTCTGATTTGGTGAGGTACTGAGCAGATTAATGTCACCCTGGTCGCAAAGTGCTGCTCCTGGCCCTGCTCTGTGGGTTAGAAGGGAGGGGAGGGGAGAAAGGAAGTGCTGCGGCGAGAGGGGGGTTTGAGAGGTCTCAGTACTAGATTAGTGACACCTGGTCGCACTGCTGTGCCTGGCCCCGAGGTGCACGGGTGAAAATGAGGGACGTCACCAGGAGGTATAGGGGGAGGAGGGGATGAGTGGGGGGAGGAGGAGGAGGGGGAAGAGGAGGGGGAGGGGGAGGGGGAGGAGGAGGAGGAGGAGGAGGAGGAGGAGGAGGAGGAGGAGGAGGAGGAGGAGGAGTAGGAGGAGGAGGAGGAGGAGGAGGAGGAGGAGAGAAACTGGAGGAGAGAAGTTCTGAGGGATGCGGGGTGAGAGAGGGAGAGGAGCAAGAGGACAGTGGCACTGCTCTCTCTGACCATCACTGCAATGCATTGCCACCTTCTTCGGTCTTCAAACCGCGAGAGACATAGAACGTCCCTCCACCACCCTCATACCTCATCTTATTCTTCCCCCAATCCCTCCCCCTACCCTCTCCCTATCCTCCCCCTCCCCTCCCATCCCCTCCCCCCCCCTCCGCGCTACGTCCCCTTCCCCAACACTCTCCCCCGTTCCTCTTCCCCTCTGTCTCACCCAGCGCAGCTAGTTCAGTGGAGCAGCCTTGCCCCACGACGGCCGTGTCGATTAAAGACATAATCGGGTGCGACAGCCATATCCCCATAGCAGGACCCGCGAAGCTCACCACACTCCGCGCTTGCTCCCACACCTCCTCACTCCACCGAGCGTCCTTCCGCACGGATTCAACCTTCCCCGCCTCGTCGAAACCTGCCTCTGTCGTCGTAGCCAGGTTTGATCCTTGTAGCTTTGCAGTCGTAGCTTCTTCCTCTCCTCTCGGGACCAGGTCGGATCCACGTAGACCCTCGTCGTGTATCAGTCCATCCAACTCTAAGCTTCCCGCGCTCCATGAAACAGCAGCATCGTCAGCTGCTCGTAGTGGAACGGCAGCAGCAGCGGCGGCGGCGGCGGCGGCGGCGGTGACTGACGTGGCAGCGACGTCGAAGTTGTCTGCTACCGACGTGGCTGTAATCACTTGAAACCCTCCTGTGGGGCCTTCGAACGTAGCTTCTAATAGGTCGGGAGAGCCCAGGGAAACGCCGCCGGCTGCGGCGGTGTCCCGTCCGCCATCGGCCGCGTGAGACGCGGCGGAGCAACGGCCTCGTGAACTGTGGAAGCGAGCGACGAGAGGATTGCGCGAAACACGGCCTACTAAAGTCGGCAACTGGTTGGAATGATTCAGCTGTGAAGTGCGTGCAGCCAGGGTCGCTGCTGCGTCACCATAATCTGGGCGGGAGCGGTGATAATGTGGAAAGGATTGGTGCGAGCATCGCCTGCCGGTGTTCCGAGACGGCTCGTCTGACGCTGCTACTGGTCGTCCGATCGGCGCGAGCGGTCTAAGAAGATTGAGAGACTTGCCGGTGTGGTGGGAGCGCGCGGGTCGCAAGGGTAGCGAACTGGCGGGTGTGAAGCGACTGGAGGCCTCCGGCCAGACGAGCCGTTCGCGAGGATGAGCTGAGGCGAAATTGACGGGATTGGGATGCCGCGAGGAGGTTTGCGGATGCAAGGACCCCGAACCATGGCGAATGGTTGGGGTTGTGCGACAGATGGTGGATTCCATGATTTCAAGCGACGGCCGAGCGATTGAAACAAAAATGGGAAATGGGATAGTAAGAGAAGTTGTAGAGCAAAGGCCCTTGCGATCAGTCGCGCGAGGGGGGAAGGACGAAGTTAGTTGGAGAGCCTGCTAAATGTATTCCTTGCTCTCCGCACCCGTTTTGTAGCTTTGACGGATTCAGGACCAGCAGTTGGCCTGCCCTGAAGGGCTAACCAATGGAAGAAGCCACTGCTTTGGGCTGAATCTGAAGTTGAAACTTTCGTCATCTTGGGACGATGCCGGCGCGACCAAGCAAGCGACGCGTGTGTTTGTTGTCAATCGCGTACGGCCTACGTTACGACTTCCCAAAGCCCATCTCTTTCCAGGTTCCGAGTGGATTTGGGTTGGGGCAAAGGGTTTTGTTTCGCCAGCGGAACGCTGGTAAAATCGCGATTCAACTGACTGAGCGACTGTCGGTGTGTAGCCACTGTATGGATTGTCATGAAACGAAGCCGTCAAGACGAGGTAGCCACGTCGTCGCGCCTCGCGGAGCACAGAAATGTCCGAATTTGATTGGACCATAAGGGTGTCACGTGTCAGTCTTCGGTTCGTCTCCGGCCGCTGCCGCGTAAAGAGCTTGGATTTTACAGTGTACATCTCCGTCACCTTTATCCAGGAAGTGCCTTGAAGTTGGCGTGAACCGAGCCGCCAGGCCACATCGCACCCACGTTGTCAGCATGGGATCGAGGCTCGATTCGGATAACCGTTGAGCCAACGAGCCGAGCCCAAACAGCACAACGCGCGACAACCCCCAGATGTGCCTGTACTGCACTCCCAACCGTTCTATGGTGTGATCTGAACCTTCTATCCAGGTTAGCTTCCCATTAGAGCAAAACAGCAGCTTGCATGGGCAATAAACGTACAGGAATAACGAGTCCCGTCATGTTCTAATTATATGCCAGGGAAACACCTCCATGAGCAACAAATACGTCGCTCCAGCTACCATAAACCCAATCACCCATGCGTTTGAATACACCGTGTGCAGCCATGCAGGCACCACTGCTGAGGCAACCACACCCACAGCGGCCAGAAACCCAGGAAGATTTGGCAGCACACCTGCCACCAACGCAAACACTGCAGCCGGATTGTACCCACCTGCATACCAATAAGGCCCAGACGGGTCCAAAGAATAAAGCCCATCCACGTCGAGCTCCGTCTTCCTCAGCAGAAAATAATCCGCAACCAGCACCCCTGCAATGGGACCGAGTAAAGCCGAATATGCGACAAGCCACGCGAAAAACGCCCCGCCTCCACCACCACCACCACCATCCGCCGGCGACCGAACCAGCCTCCACGGCGCCAGCAGCAGCCCTGCAAGGGCTGTAACCGTGGCTCCTGCAGCAAAGGAGACCCGCCGCGGCGCCAGATTCACCAGCGCGTTGGCCGGTGCAACGACATTCGCAGCGATGTTGGTGGTAAGTGTGGCGAGGCAGAGGCCAGTGCAGGCGAGCAGTGAAGGGAGCAGCCCGGGGATCTTGGAGAGCAGCAGTACAGGGTCGGGGATGGCAGGCGGGCCAAAGACAACGAGCGTGGCAGAGGTCACAGCGAGGCCTACAAAGGCAAACGCCACCATGGTCACCGGCAGGCCCAGCGCCTGGCCTATTGCTTGCGATGCTTGTGAGCGTGAATAGCGCGTGAAGTCTGCTAGAGGAGCGTGGGACAGCAGTGGAATGGGTGAAGAGAAGGTGGCTTTGACAGGAAAAACGGCCAATGGGGGTGAAAATCAGAGAGGAGAAACCCTTGAGATATGAGGGAGAAATAGTCTCTGAAGTTCCCCTTAATCTGTTCTACATACACCACGTATCAACGTAACTGTCCAAGTGTTCCCCTTAAAGAACCACAGGCAGTGTGCAGCCACTTCCATTCAACCACCTGCAAGCCTAAGCCCAAGCCATGCCCGTCCCCCTGCCATGCCCACGCCCATGCCCATGCCCACAGTCACGAACACAACCAAAACCACACAGCCCACCCACCTGGGATATTAAGGCTTAGCGTAGCCCAGAACCCAACGTTCGCTGTCAGGGCAGGGAAAAACGTTTTCCAGAACTGCCCGTGCTTGGGTCCGCCCGGTGCAAAGAGCGAGGGTGCGCTGAGCATGGGCCCCAGCCCGCCCGCCCTGGAGTACGCCCATGCAAGCAGGCACACACAGAGGCTGGTGATGGGGATGGTGCAGGGGAAAGGGAAGGGGAAGGGGAAGGAGGAGAGGAAGGAAATGCGGAAAGGGAAGCCTAGAAGATGTGGACGGGACAGTTGGATGATGGATTAGACAGACGGTGGTTGGAAGCAGGGGTGGAGACAGGTTTGCATCAAGGGAATGAGACTCTGTTGGACTGTTCCTCAGTGTGACACAACTTAGAGACACTGTTTGGAAAGGACAGAAGACAATCTCGGCACTTGTGTCTGCTCAGCATGCGATGGCATTCTAAGAGGCCTAGGACATGCTCCTTTTCCATAAGCAGAAAAAAGAAGGCTCAGGAACAGGAGCAGGAGCAGCCAGAGGACAGGGACAGTTCGCAGCACACTAGATTCTCAGCATCACTGACGAGAGAAGCATCCACTTTAGGCGAGGCTACACTACCTGCACGACATCACGGCAACAACACAGGGGCTTGCAACAGAGCCCCTGGCGTTGCCACATGCTTCACCATACCATCCCACCCGCAGCTACCGTACAGCGTTCAGCTTACAGCAGCAGCACGGGCGCGCTGGCAGACTCGAGATGGCGAATGCATTCGATTCCCCGCCATACAATCCCCAGCTGCCCCACCCAAAACACCAGGAAGCACCCCAACTCCGCGTACGTCACCCCGCCGAACCACCCTGGCAGGTTCGGCGCCGCCGCCAGCGCCGCGGCCCCAGCGGCCCCCTGCGCCGCCGGCAAGTGCGTGACGAGCTGGAGGATCGCCGAGCCTCCGATCCAGGTCTGGATGCCGAACCAGCCGCAGGCGACGAGTCCGCGGAGCAGCGACGGGAGGTTGGCGCCTTTGACGCCGAAGGCTGCGCGCGCGAGGACGGGGAAGGGCACTCCGTACTTGCAGCCGGGATGACCGTTGAGAAGCATGGGGATGAGGACGAGGAGATTTCCCGCTAGGACCGTTAGGAGTCCCTGCCACCATGCCATGCCTACCTCCACTAAGGTGGCCGCGAGGTACCAGGTGGGGACGCCTGATTGGCGGAGCGAGAGAGTGGGGAATGGAGGGAGATGAAGGGGAAGGGGAAAGGGAGAGCGGGGAGCGCGGTGGGAGAGAGAGTGGCGAGAAGGGAGACGAAAAGCAGGGGATGAATGGAGGTGGAAAGGGATTGCAAGGGTGGAAGGTTGTAAGGTGGATTTACTGGATGGCGGGAGGTAAGGAGGACTGGAAGCATTTGGCCGATGATGGCGCCCAAATAGAAGCTTGCTTGCGTGAATGAATGAGAAAACGGGGAAATCGAAGAGGGCGAAATTTGATAACTGGACGGTGGTGAGAAGTGGACTGAGTGAGACGCACCGACAACGAGGCCGACCCAGAGCGACGCCATGTGCCACGCGTCGAACGTTCGTTGGCTGGCCAGCGTCGGAACGAGATCGTCGTTTATCAGCGACGGATGCGGTTGCACGGGTAGTCGCGCAGCAATTGGCTGGATGAACAATGCGCCTCGACCAGAGGGGCTTGTGGTATCCCTTTCTGGTTTACCGCTTTCAACTGAATCCGCTTTTCCTGCGCCGCTAGCAGCGCTTCCTGATGCTCCGCCGCTTTCTGCGCTACATCGAACCACCAGCTGATCGCGCTTGAAGGGTGTGCGGCGTGCGGCGATAAATGAGCGACTCGGACGACGGACCGTGCGAAACTTGCACGGTGCTGCGAAATTGGAGGACGCATGACGGCAGTGCGAGGGTTGAGCGAGACGACTTGGACACGAGGAGGACGCAGTAGCGCTGACCGGACGTGCCGGCTGGTGGAAGGCGTATAGTAGATGCGTCTGGTAGCGACCGCCTGATACTGAAAGACCTGGTAGTGATCGACGGTCACCGTGGGGGTATGCAGCGGCGTGGATCAACGGTGCAAGAAGGCTGGACGCACAAGGGGAAAGGGACGAGGATGAGGAAACGGATGAAATTGGATGAAGATGAGGCGGAGTGATGATAAGAGTAGTTGGAGATATCAAGGAGGCCATAGTCCCTAGAGCTACCAGCTAGTAGCAGTTGCTGCGGGAATGAGAGCAAAAGTAGAAGCTAGAGCTGGAGTGGTTGAGCTGAGCTGTGAAATGCCATGCGATGCAAATCTTGCCCGTGTGCAGCAGTTCCTTCTTGATGGATGGTGCGGTGCGGTTCAGCAGGATCGCGCGGTCAGACCTGACATGTGTGCTGTACGTGGTGGTGGCGGCAAGCATTTTCGACACACATCAGAGACAGTAGGCGAAAGCAGGAACAACTTGTAACCGCGCTGTCCCTTCGCCAGCGCAACAGCTAGCGATTATGGAGGCCATTGGGGCGGGGAGCAGGGCTGACGTCTCATATTAGGCCTTCCCGATTCCGGGGAATTTTTTTCCCCTCAATTATGAGTGCACATTTTTCAGAATGATGCTACCCTGATTGCTCAGGGTTGAAAAGTATATAACTCTGATTGTTCAGGGTCGAGAAACGAAGATCAGAGTAGTAACGCGCCCTCTGCGTAAGCTCTGCGCTCTGTGTTTCGCGCACACTGTGAGCGAGCTAATTTCCACCCGTTTAGTTTCACAAAATAGTATTCATCCACATTTTTTTTATGCAAGATACACTAAAAGTGCATAATACATCGGCAGTCGTAACTGTGGCTGATGGGCCTAGGGGGTTAGCACCCTCCGTACCCATCCTGATCCTCTAAGGGGGATGGAAAGCTGCCCTCGGGCTCGATCAGATGGCCATGAATCCTTTGGACCACGTGGCCGGTTGCGCTGTGTTGTCGAGGATGTGGCTCAAGACCCGGCACTCGTCATCATCCAATCCAGGACGAGTGGCACCGAGCCTCTTGGATGCCGCCTTAGCATGCTTGTCAATTCTGACATGCAGCTCGAAAGACGCCGCGATCCTCCGCAGTGCCTTCCGCGCCCGGAACTTGCTCCGTTCGAAAACTGCGTCACACCTCTCCACCCAAATTTGGTGGAGCGCAATTGCTGTAATCGTAGCCTCGGGAAAACCCGAAGCTGTCCCCTCCTTCTTGAAAACCAGGTCTCCCATTGACTCAATCTTCCGATGCGGGTTCAGCATGTGGAGCGCCTTCAAAAGTGCCCGAACCACCGGCTGGATACGTGGGCAGAGAAACAGCCCATGTTCCAGCGTCTCCCTCTCCCCGCAATGCAGTCATGCGACACCGGTGCCCAGAAAGTGCAGCCGCTCCCCCACCTGCAGGTTCCGGCTGTGGATCCGGAGCGTCACATCCCGCGCACGATTCGGGAGGACCATTGAGTCTCTTACGTCGATCGCTCTCCCCCAGTCAATCTGACGGCCGAGGGACTCTTCCCAGGTGGTTTGCTGCTTCGGCTTTCCGCTACACCGCTTAAACCCCTCCTTCAGCTGTTTGAGCTGCGCCAGACGGCCCCCCTCCTAGATGGGCAAACACAGCAGCCTCGCCTTGGGGGCGCCTGTAGGGCCGAGAAAACGACCCTCCCTGACCAGTGCGGGTAATACCTCGTGCGGCTGGAAGTTGCGCAATTTCTCCTCTGCATCCCCCAGTATCCCCCGAACGCAACTGATAGCTCGGCAAACTAGGGTTTCGCCTTCCACGCACTCAATCCTCCAGACCCCGTAGCTCGTCCCCACCTTCAGCACAAACTTAGAGGCAGCTAGCACCGTATGCGTCGTGACTGGCGCCAGGAGCAACTGTTTCCACTCATCCGGGGCGGCGTCAAAGATCCGTTTTGCCAGTTTCGCACCTGCCGAGCCCCCGAACTCCCGCTTGAGCTCCTGGGTATCCTTAAGAGCCCTCGAGCCGTCCCTAGCGACTTTGATTAAGTCTCGCATGACCGAACGCTTCAGACACTTAGCCGCCTTCTGCCGTCGTGCAGGCATCTTCCCGTTTAAGAGCAACCGCCGATTGAAGAGCAGCAGCTCCTTTTCCACATCCCACACTGATGACACACTGATGCACGAAGGGAAGCTAGACTCCAGAAACAGCTCGCAGGTCTGCTTCCACCGCATACACCTTCCTTCCCACTGCTTTATCAGCCCCGTGTGGGCCCAGAAGACTTGGAGATCAGGGACATCCAGCGCTGCCTGCGCAAGATCAACACGTAAACCCAACGACTGCGACGCCAGCAACGCGATCCTCCTGGCCGCCAGGCCCCCCAGCTCAGCACATGGGTCCCGGACACCGAGGCCGCCTTCCCCTCTCACCTTGAACAACAGCTCCTGGCTCCAGAGCGCGAAATGCTTCCCCGCCGTCGAGTGGTTTCCGGTGACGAAGTTGTGAAGCAACTTCACCAGCTTCGCCCAGATCTCTGCTGGAGGAGGGTAGACCTGCGCCTGGAAGGCGAGGATCGGGTTGATGTACCCATTGAGTCCTTTTGCACCGTTCCCTTCCATTGCAGCAATGTAATCATTGTCTTCTCCTTCCGTGTCTTGACCTTTGCAGACATGAGCTTGCCAGGCATCTCCCCCTCCCGCAGCTCCTTGACACCAGCCATGAGTGACAGCCTCTCTTGCTCCGAGGCGAGATATGCCGCCAGTTGGGACTCCTTGACCCTCAGCTCCTCCCTCCGGGCGGAGCAGTAGGGGTTACGCATCACTTCCTGCTGCAAAACTGCCACCGCAGTGTCCAAGTGACGCAGAGTAGCTTTAACCCGCTTCCGTTCTTCCGTAAAGTATTTCCGTAGCGCCATACTAACTTTCTTCATGAGCGCAGTGAAATCGCCTGACCCCGCTTTTCCGTGCTCCTCTCGGACAGCAGCTACCGCTTTCGCTGCACCCGGCTTTCCAACCTCTGCTGCCTTACACCTCCATATTCCCGGCCCCATACATAACTACAGGCTGACCTTAAAGGTCACCTTAACTCCAAACCAGTGGTCTGAGAGGCCTTTTAGCAGTCGACAGTGCGACGCATCCGAGAGCATCGGCATCAGCGGCGCCGAGATGAGAGCTCCGTCAATGCGTGAGCTGGTCTTGGCAGGCCTGGATAGAAAGGTGAACTCCTTCAGCACCGGGTTCATCCAGCAAAAAGCATCAGTGAGGCAGTGCGTTGAGCAAATCCGCACACACTGCCGTTTTCTCCCGACGAGCCCACTCCAGACGACCTATCAAGCAGAGGGTCCTCCACCATGTTAAGATCCCCGATCAAAATGAAAAATTTCTTCCCCGTAGAGTGCGCCATGAAAGGAGCGAGCACACCAGCGTAAAACGGGCGACGTCTGCAAGCCTTCGCCGGGAAATAAGCGGCCAAGATTGTGCAGCAGAAAGAGTCCCACTGGACATCAGCCTGAAGCACCCGGCCCAAGCTGTGCGTGACAATGTTTGTGAAAACAAGAGACTTATTAAAGCTTAAGATGGCAACACCCCCTGCCTTCCCCGCGGGTCCCATTGCGTGACAGTGTGGGACTTTGAGCCTCTTCCAGAAATCCTGGTCTGCACCAATACGTGTGTCAGCTAAGACGAAGTTATCAGGTGGTTTCTGTAGCCATGCCTTCAGATGCTTCTACTTCCCTCTGCTCCCGAGCCCGTTGACGTTGAGCTCGCGTATTGTCTACTACGAGGCTTTATTTATTGGGAAACCGCCGAGAAGCCCCAAGCATCCACGGGCTGAGCGAGACACGGACAACAGTTTTATAAAAGGCAAATACAGAGTCAAGTGACACTAACATGCGGTTCCTTCCCCTCCTCTTTCCCTCTACAACCCATAATCCTTCTTTTGGTGCTTGAGGTTGATCTTCCCTTTCAACATCCGGAGCGATTCCCCCCCTTTCAGGGCCCCATGGCGGTGCCGCTGGGACAACGCGTGATGCGCAGCCTGCTCGAACGACGAACCATGAGCCTTCTCGCAGCTGTCATGAAGACAAAACCACTCCACCCGATTGCCGCTGGTGGAAATAAGCACTAGGGATGGATCCTTGAGAATGATCTTGGTCGTATCTGATGCAGTGGTTGCAGCAGCTGCGGAGCAACGATGTGAGAACCCAGAAAAAAGCATAATGGAAAACGACAGCGAAATGAGTGAAACTCCTACAACGACAGCGCAAACGGCACGGCTACTATTCAGCTCATGGACCCTCCCAACGGTAAGGTGCCATTTGGTGATGTTGTTCTGCCGCTCGACGACGAAATCATCGTGATTGTGGATTGAGTGATGACCTCCGCACAGGCTGCACTTCAACGCCGGGAAGTAGATCACCAGAATCTCATCATTGTTGAGCGGGTGCAGCGGGCGATGGCACCTCAACGAAGCAGTGGAAATCTCTCGGCGACGACGCATGTGACAGCAGGCGGAATCGCGCCGGCGTATGGCTACTTCAAGTTTTCGCCGGACAAGATCACCGTCGCACCTCTGCAAGGCCGACGAGACCTCATCACTTGGAGGGAGTCGATAGAACCACAGCTTGAGGTTGCTGGGCTGAAGGGCTTTGCCGACGGTACTGTGCCAATTCCGCACGAGGACGATGTCGAGCTGCGCGGGGAGTTTCGTGCTGCTCACTTGCTCACCTTCATGGTCATCTCGAGGTGCTGCTCGCCGGTGGTGCAGCTTGCGCTCAGGAGCTGTCGAGAGCGTCTGGATGCTGGTCACCAAGCATGGCACTTCATCCTGTCGACGTACCAGGCGAAGGACGACTTGTACATCGGACAGCTGGAGGAGAAGATGACACACATTCGGATGGGTGAGCAGGAGTCAACGACGGACTACTGCAACCGTGCTCGACGGATACTGGCCGAAATGTGGATGGCGGGCGCCGAATACTCTACGGCGTCCTACATCACCCATGTCGTCAAGGGCCTGTCGCGTAGCTACAACCTCATGAAGAGGATGATGATGGTGCCTGGCACGCGGGAGTCACTCGACGAAGACTCAATCACTAGCTACATCCTTCAAGATGAGGCTATGCAGGAGGCAGAGCAGCCCACGGAGCTCCTTCCGCAGGCGGGTTACGCTGCACCGACGAAGCAGAATCGTCCGCAGGGGCAGCGAGGAAAGTCTGGCGGAGGTGGTAGCGGAGGTGGGAGGTCGGCAAAGGACTCCGACCAGGCGAAATCAACTCGTGACAGCGGTCGCGGCAAGGGTGGTCGACGGCGTGAGTGTTGGGTCTGCGGAAGCGCTGACCACCTCTCCTATGAGTGCCCCGACCGAGAAGAAACTGACAAAGATGACCACAAGGGAGGCCGCAAAAGGTCGGCCAACGGTCGTCAAAGTCGGGACGAGAAGCCGCGCAAGGAGAAGCAGACGTCGAAGAAGGCGTCGTCGTCGACGAAGGAGGTCGACTCCTCCAGCGGCAAGGGGCAAGGTGATGGAGAGGCTTCCTGCTCAATGGTCAGCATGGTGGAGCAGACTGTTTCACTTGCGCCAGAGGCCGGGGAAGACTTCAAAGCGGTCGCAGCAGCCGTGCAGGCGAATCCAATGGTGGTTCTGCTCGACAGCGGTTGCTCACATCACCTCATGGGGGCGAAGGAGGCCTTCGTCGACACGGGGCCGAGCGGCAATGTGAAGCATGTGCGTGGCTTCAACGGGGCTCTGCAGACCGTTGAGGGCCAAGGCACCGTCGCTCTGCAAGGGGAGGCCGGGAAGCAGGTCCTCATCCCCGACGTGCTCTACGTCCCGGGCGTGCAGGCGAACCTGCTGTCAGCTGGTCAGCTGAAGGAGAATGGTGTGCAGCTGCAGGACGACGGTGACGAGACGATGCTCGTCAACACGACTGGGAAGGTGCTCGGTCGAGCACGCTATAGCGGCTGCGTCCTCTGCACCAACCTTCAACCCTTCTCGACAAAGCTGTCATCGAAGTCGACTGAGGTGGTGGCTCTGCGAACGATTGCTTCGGCAACGAAGTCGACGCCGCCCAGGTGGCACGCGAGGCTTGCGTACGTTGGTGTCGACATCATCAAGAGCTCGGCGAAGCACAATGTTGCCACTGGCCTGGACATCACGCCTTCCACAGGGACCGATTTGCCGTGCGTCTCCTGCGTAGGTGGCAAACTTGCACGGCATACCTTCCCCAACAAAGGTTCGGATGCGGAGGAAGCCCTTGCCGTTGTGCACATTGGCTTGTGCGGACAGTTCCGAGTGGCTGCCAAGGATGGCAGCTACTACTTTCTTCTGCTGAAGGATCGAAAGACTCGCTACGTGTGGGTGAGGTCGGTCGCCAAGAAAAGCGACGTCTAGGAAGTGTTTAAGCAGTGGCTGGTGGTCGTGGAGAGGCAAACCAAGAAGTCGGTGTTGATGCTCCGCTCTGACCGCGGAGGCGAGTTCCTGGGGAAGGACTTCACCAACTTCGTCAACGGCAAAGGCATCGTCCACGACCTGACCTGTCCGTACACTCCGCAGCAGAACGGCATGGCGGAGAGGGAGATGCGGACGGTCGTCAAGGCCGTGCGGACGATGCTGCTGCACATGGGCGTGCAGCACCACTGGTGGCATCTCGCCCTGCGGCAGGCCGTCTGGGTGCGCAACTGCTTGGAGCGGTCAACGCTGCCTCTGGGGACGACGCCGCACCAGCTGCTGACAGGCAAGAAGCCCGATCTCACTCTAGCGAGGGTGTGGGGCTGCATGGTGCAGTTCATGGTCCCTGAGCAGCAGCGTGGTGGGAAGCTGGCGTCAAAGGCTCGTTGGGGGCTACACCTGGGTTTGTCACTGGAGAGCAAGGGATGGGAAGTGCTCGACCTGACTGACAACAAACTTGTCACAACGGTCGAGGCTATCTTCTACGAGACGGTGTCTCTGGAGGTGTGGAAGGTGACGCATGGGCCAGCGTCTGCACGGGCGCAGACCCACTCTCCGACTGACTCCTCTACGGCGACGTTTCCACTGCTCGCCGAGATCGACGAGGCTGCTGACGAGGATGTCGAGGAAGTCCATCCTACTCCTCCTCCTCCTGTTCCTTCTGCACCACCTGTTGTCGCCGACTTGCCTGAGCAGACACCTTCGTCAGCCACTGGCGACGAGGGGAGCCTGCGGACGTTGCCTGTGGCGCCGTCCAAGGGCATCGCCAGCGGCCGACGTGATGTCAAGCTCGTCGACGAGGGTACGAAGCCTTCAACGGCAGGGGAGCTGCGGGTGGAATAGATGCAGCTGACAGGGGAGCCATTGACGAAGGAAGCGTCTGCAGAGGAACCGTCGACAGGGGAGCAGTTCGACGATGGTTCGTCGAGTGACGTTGTGGAGGACATTGGTGAACCTGATGACGACGAAGGGGAGCTGTCTGCGGGGGAGCAGTCCACTGACAGCGATGTGGTGGAAGTCAAAGCTGACGAGCCTCCGCTGCGACGTTCCACTCGTGTCAACTTTGGCAAGCCTCGCGAGAAGCTGAGCTACCATGCTTGCTTGCCCCCCACCTCCTACAGCACGTTGCTCGACGATGCGCAGGACGACGTCGACCTGTCCGAGCTCGACCCTGACGTGCACGCTGACCCAGAGCATCGCTGGGACATCGCGACGATGACAGTGAAGGAGGCTCTGGCGAGCTGGAAAGGCAAGGCGGTGAAGGCGGCGATGGACGAGGAGATTCGCAACCTCATCGCCAACGGCACATGGGAGCTGGTCGAACGTCCGCGCGGGGTGAACATCATGAAGAACCGGTGGGTGCTGACAACGAAGTATCACATCGATGATACGGTCGCTCGTGAGAAGGCACGTTTAGTCGTGAAGGGCTTCATGCAGGTGTACGGCGCCGACTACGAAGAGACGTACGCACCGGTCAGCAGC